CATATGTTTTGATGTTGATCAGGAATCAGATAAACTGAAAGATGATGACTTGTATAAATTCTTGGCTGACCTCAAGAGACCCTCTTCAGTTTTAAAGCGTCTTAAGTGCATACCAGGTAATACTGACAAATTTTCTCATGCTTAGTGATTTGATGTGAAGCCTTGATTGATGCATTTCCAAGAATAAATGAAGTAATGAAACTCAAAGCAGGTCAAGAATTGGAGTTTCGCATTTTTTTTTCTATGTTTGTGCCCTCCCAAAACCCTGCAACTTTAGGGAGGAGAGTAGCAAAGAGGAGGTCGTGTCGGAACACTTGAGAATATCTTCTGAAACTTTTGCATTTACTTTTGAATTCCTCATACATCTTTGGATATAATTGCATGGGTCGTGTGCAAGAAGTCTCATACCTTTGAGGTAAAAAAAGTTGGCAGTTAAATTTAAGGTGGCTGACAGTATTTTTTTTTTTTTAAAGGAACCTTGAAGCTGGACATTTCGCCACCAGGGGACAAACCACCCTACTGCTTAACTTCAGAGTTACATCAGGTATTGTTACATACCTGGATTTTCTTGCTGGATTTTCTTTTTCAACCTCAGCCATTGAAAACAAGGCTAACGTTCTTTGAGACAAATTTTAACTTGACAGGGAGTAGCATTCAAGAGAAGCAGGAGTTAAAATTATAGGAAAATTCATTACCTGACGAGGGACTCTGCGTTAAACTGTGCGTGAAAACCGATGCCGCTCTCATTGCTGAGCGATGTGTGCAATATTGGTTTCAAGTGCTATTTAACGTAAAATTCACAAGTCAGGTAACGGATTTTCCTTGAATCGCATAATTGAATAAAAATGAGAAGAAAAGAAAACAGCAATAATAATATTGCTTGTTTTTATCTTGAGGGGGAAACAAGAGATGCAAAACAATGTCACTTAGCCTCGTTTTGAATTTACCATTCCACGCTAAATACCTCTCTTCGTTGACCATTCAGAAGGGGTGATTTTATTCAATTATGCGATTCTAAGGAGTATTTATGAGGTCTTGATAGAAAACCAAATTGCCTTGTTTGTCAGATACAACCTTATCCAGATGGAAAAGCAAGACCAACCAAAGAGATAGAAGAGTTTGCGCCTAAAGAAGTGTTTGCACCTTATCTTACATTCAAGTAAGATACATCTAGTTCTGCATGTACAAATATAGTGATATTTTGCTTGATCAAGCATTCCACTTCGTAAACTTTGTGAAGTTTAACTGAGTACGATGCAAGGCAAGAAACTTTCTTTTCAACTCACTTCTCCCTTTGGACAAGAGCAGTGTTTGCTTTACTTGTCCAGGTCACAAGCTATCTTCAACTATCTGTAAGCGGTTATGGGCAGCAAAGATATAACATATTGAAAATGATTTGGTAACATGTCCAAAGCCAGATAAAAAGGTTTATTTCCAATTTTTTTTAATAGTCCGTTCAGAAAAGTGAGATCAAAATTTTCTTTCTCTGGAAGAAAACGTTAACCATCCCAGACGTTCCAAAAGTCTCGCTCTGATGAGCAATTGTGTTTTTGCAGGAACCTCATGTATGTTTACCCCTTGAGTGTCAATTACACTAGTCGTAGCACATCTGCAAGAAATATTGCAGTAAAAGTACAGTTCATGGATGGTGAAGACTTTGATGCTTCTGCACTAGAAGTAAGTAAATGCGCTACAGATTCAGAAGCAAAGATGTCCATCTAATGTTTATGCTCTATGGAGATCTTTTTGTCGTTTTTCTTTTTTATTTCGGTTTTCCATGATGCTGATTAATATTTCTGGTTAACTAATTATTACTTAATAATTATATTCCTGGATCTTCTATCCCAGCATGCCACTTGACCATGTGCACCCTTATGTCGACAGAGCTGAATAACGTATGCGCACGCGCTAGGTTTTATTTCTATTTTTGAATGTAGATATCCAGGAAAATGATTATTGTGTCCGAAAAAGAAA